TGTAAAATTAATAATGGGAAGAATTATTCATTGTAATGTTCATGTAGTTATGGGAATTCTTAACAAAGCCATATGGATTGGAAGTTAAAAAGTCTAATTTGTCTGTTATCACTGATATTTTTTCATCAGTCTCTCAATGACTGCCATAATGTTCTATTTTTTTTTCTTTTTAGGTTCTTTATTGTTTGAAGTATTACATATGAATCTCCCCCCCATTTTCCTCTCCCCACTCATTTCCACCACCCCTCTGAAAATGCCCTCACCCCACCTACTGACTGTGTCCATGGATTATACTTATATGCATGCATACAGTCCTTTGGTTAATCTCTCCCCCACTTCTCGTCCCTTCCCTCAGAGGTTGGATGGTCTGTTTAATGCTTCTATGTCTCTGGATCTATTTTAGTTCATCAGTTTATGTTGTTCACTATATTCCACATATGCATGAGATCGTGTTATATTTATCTTTCTCCTAGTGGCTTATTTAGCTTAGCATAATGCTCTCCAGGCCCATCCATGCTGTTGCAATGTTAGGAGTTCCTTCTTTATTACAGCAGCATAGTATTGTATTGTGTAGATGTACCACAGGTTTTAATCCACTCATCTGGTGATGGGCACTTAGGCTGTTTCCAAATCTTAGCTATTGTAAGTTGTGCTGCTATGAACATAGGGGTGCATATGTCCTTTCTGATTGGCGTTTCTCCTATCTTGGGATTATATTCCTAGATGTGGGAATACTGGGTCAAATGAGAGATATATTTTTAATTTTTTGAGGAAACTCCATACTGTTTTCCACAGTGGCTACACCAATTTACATACCCACCAGCAGTGCAAAAGTGTTCTTTATTCTCCACATCCTAGCCAGGAATTGTCGTTTGTTGATTTGTTGATGATAATTATTCGGACAGCTGTGAGATGGTCATTCGGACAGCAGTGAGATTGTCCTTTTGATTTACATCTCTAGGATGATTATTGACTTTGAGCATCTATACTAATAAAAGGGTAATATGCTAATTAGACCAGATGTCTTCCAGATGACCTGCCAGATGTCCCTCCTGACAAAGCCGGGCCGGGTGAAGCTGCCCGCCTACAGTCCCAGGTGCCAGCAGCTCTAGCTGTGGCCAGGGCAAAGCCGAAGCTGCCTGCCTGAGGTCCCAGGCGCCAGTGGCTGCGGCTGTGGTCGGGAAAAGGAGAAGCCGCCCATCTGCCTGCGGTCCCAGGTGCCAGTGGCTGCATCCCGGGTGAAGCTGCCCACCCCCAGTCCCAGGAGCCTGCGGCTGCGGCCAGCCCAGGCAAAGCTGGTCCAGGTCCCGGGTGCTTGAGGCTGTCTGGATGAGGGAATCCTGGGTCGTGGATGTGGGGCAATCAGGCCAGCAGGGAAGCAGTTAGGGGCTATCAGGCAGGCAGGCAGAGGTGGTTAGGGTCGATTAGGCATGCAGACAGAGGGATTAGGTGCAATCAGGCAGGCAGGCATGTGAGCGGTTAAGGAGCCATCGGTCCTGGATTGTGAGAGGGATGTCTGACTGCCTGTTTAGGCCCGATCCCAGGACATATCCTGAGGGGTTCTGGATTGGAGAGGGTGCAGGCCAGGCTGAGCCCACCCCACACTGTGTATGAATTTTGTGCAATGGGCCACTAGTGTTTTCATATGTCTCTTGGCTTTCTCTATGTTCTCTTTTGTAAGGGGTCTCTTTAGGTCCTTTGCCCATTTTTGGATGGATTGTTTATCTTCCTTTTGTTAAGTTGTATGAATTCCCTATAAATTTTGGAGAGAGATTAAACCCTTATCGAATATAACATTGACAAATATGATCTCCCATGAAGTGGGCTTTCTTGTTGTTTTGTTGATGGTTTATTTTGATGTACAGAAGCTTTTTGTTTTAATGTAGTCCCATTTGTTTATTTTCTCCATAGTTTCCATTGTCCTAGGAGCTGTATCAGTAAAAATATTTCTACAACATATGTCTGCTATTTTGCTGCCTATGGATTCTTCTAAGATTTTTATGGTTTCTTGTCTTACATTTAAGTCCTTTATACATTTTGAGTTTATTTTTGTGAATGGTGTTAGTGGGGGTCTGGTTTCATTTTTTTTTCATGTATCTGTCCAATTTTCTCAACACCATTTATTGAAGAGACTGTATTGTCTCCATCATATGCTCTTGCCTCCTTTGTCAAATATTAATTGAGCATAATGGCTTGGGTCAATCTCTGAGTTCTCTGTTCTGTTCCATTTGTCTATATGCCTGTTCTTGTGCCAGTACCAGGCAGTTTTGAGAACTGTGGCTTTTTAATATAGCATGATATCTGGTATTGTGATCCCTCCAACTTTGTTCTTCTTTCTCAGGATAGCTGCAGCTATTTGGGGTCTTTTTATATTCCATATAATTTTTTTGGAGCGTTTGTTCTAGATCTGTGAAGTATGCCATTGGTATTTTAATGGGGATTGAATTGAATCCATAGATTGCTTTGGGTAGTATGGACATTTTAATGATGTTGATTGTACCGATCCATGAGCATGGTATATTCTTCCATTTGTCTATGTCTTCTTCTATCTCTTTTTTCAGTGTCTTGTAATTTTCTGAATACAGATCTTTTCCCTGTTTAGTTAAGTTTATTACTAGGTAACTTAATTTTTTTTTTGTAATGATAAATGAGATTGTGTTTGTAGTTTCTCTTTCTGTGCTTCATTGTTAGTGTATAAAAAAGTGATAGATTTCTGAGTGTTAATTTTATATCCTGCTACATTGCCAAATTCATTTATTAAGTCTAATAGTTATTTATAGTGTTTTTGTGGTTTTCTATGTACAATATCATGTCATCTGCAAATAATGATAATTTTGCTTATTCTTTTCTAATTTTGATGCCTTTTATTCCTTCTTTTTTAAAAATATATATTTTTATTGACTTCATAGAGGAAAGGAAAGGGAAAGAGAGATAGAACATCAATGATGGGAATCATTGATCGGCTACCTCCTGCACTCCACCTACTGGGAATCAAGCTTGCAACCCAGGCATGTGTCCTTGACCAGAATCAAACCCAGGATCCTTCAGCCCACAGACCGACACTCTATCCACTGAGCCAAACCTACTAGGGCTATTCCTTCTTGTCTGATTGCTATGGCTAGCACTTCCAGTACTATATTGAACAGAAGTAGCAAAAGTGGAAATCCCTGTCTTGTTCCTGTTCTTAGGGGAAGTTGTTTTAGTTTTTGCCCATTGAGTGTGATGTTGGCCATAGGTTTGTCATGTAAGGCTTTTATTATGTTGAGGTATGATTCCTCTATTCCCACTTTGCTGAGTTTTTATCAAGAAAGGGTGTTGGATTTTTGTCAAATGCTTTTTCTGCATCAGTTGATATGATTATGTGATTTTTGTCTTCAATTTGTTTATGTGATGTATCACCTTTATTGATTTTCAGATATTGTAACAGCCTTTCATCACCAGAATAAATCTCACTTGGTCGTGGTGTATAATTTTTCTAATGTAATGCTGGATACAATTTGCTAAAATTTTGTTGAGGATGTTAGCAGCTATGTTCATTGGAGATATTATCCTATAATTCTCTTTATTTGTAGTGTCTTTATCTGTTTTTGGGATTAGGGTAATGATGGCTTCATAAAAAGAGCTTGGAAGTGTTTCTTCCTCTTGAATTTTTTTGGAATAGTCTGAGGAGGATAAGTTTTAGTTCTTCTTTGAATGTTTGGTAAAACTCTCCTGTGAAGCCATCCAGACTAGGGCTTTTGTTTGCTGGAAGTTTTTTTTTTTTTATGACTGCTTCAATTTCTTCAGTAGTTATATATGCCTATTTAGGTTTTTTGATGTTTCTTGATTGAGTTTTGAAATATTGTATTTTTCTAGAAATATGTCCATTTTGTATAGGTTGTCCATTTTGTTGGAGTAGAGTTGTTTGTAGAATTTTTTTTTACAATCCTTTGAATGTCTGTGGGATCAGTTGTTACTTCACCTCTTTCATTTCTGATTTTGTTTATTTGGGTCCTCTCTCTTTGTTTCTTGGTGAGCCTGGATATAGGTTCATCAATCTTGTTTATCCTTTCAAAGAACCAGCTCTTGGTTTCATTGATCTTTTGTATTGTTTTTTTTTTGTCTCTATGTCATTTATTTCTGCTCTCATCTTTATTATTTCCTTCCTTCTGCTGGGCTTGTTGCTCTCTTTCTAATTCTTTAAGTTGCAGGGTTAGATAATTTATTACCAGTTTTACTTGTTTTTTAAGGTAGGCCTGTAGAGCTATGAACTGCCTACTCAAGGCTGCTTTCACTTGTCCCATAGATTTTGGATTGTTGTGTTTCCATTGTCATTTGTTTCTAGAATGCTTTTATTTCTTCTTTGATTTCTTTGGTAACCCAGTCATTAATTAATAGCATGCTATTTAGCCTCCATGTGCTTGATTTTTTTAAATTGTGTTTATTTTAGTTGATTTCTAATTTTGTG